GAGATACTAATCACGTACACAACAGTCGCCAGCCAACGGTCTCTTAAGTTTTCTGATTGTGCACTGAAATCTTGATGCGTCAAATGACCGCGTTTGTGGTAGTCCGTTGACTACTGCCTGACATTTTAATCGAATTCATAACGTTTAATTAAAAATTATAGCACTCCGAATTTATACTTAAAAGTAGTAAGAACAAAGTTTTATTTCATTTCTGTTCGAATTGAATGTCCGGTGGCGACACTAACAACTTGTATTATCTTTTGTGTTCTGTACAATTAAATTTTGTAAAACCATAAAAGAATTATTTCTGCTTTTTTTTTTTTTCAAGTCCTGTATTTGGACAGTAAAACTTGAAGGAATGCGAAGAAAATCGGTTTTATGAGAAAAAATAGAATAATTGAATCAACGCATCTCATATAATTACAAGAATAACTTACAGGTTTCTAATCGTAAACGTTAAACGGCAATTAATCATAATAATATGATCGCTACACGACTTATTGGAATAAATTATAACTTGTGTACATATTAAGAGTATTTTTTTTTTTTTAAGTAGCCGTACAGTGGCGCAACTAGGGTTAGAACCATGGCCGATTTTAAGGAGGGGGTCCAGAGATCAACTCCTACGTGAAATGTTTAAAAAGTACATATAAATTTATATAAACCTGACCATTCGCAACAATTTTGGACCACCCCCGGAAATATATTTTGGATACGGATATTTGGATGTTTAGGACGTTGTAAACTGGTTAGTAAAATTGTAAAATGGTTAGTGATGCATGAATTTTTAGGGAAACAGATAAAAAAAAAATTGTCAAATGACATTTGTTTACACGTTCAAATTAAAAAAAAAAAATAGAGACGCATTGAAAAAATGTATTTTTTTAAAAATAAAAGATTATATAATGACTCGAAAAAACTTCTGGTTACACCACTATAGCTGTATATTTCTTTAAGGAATATTAATCTTGGTTTAAAATTATATTTATTTGGTAAAAACACCTTAAAATTATAACTAATTTTAAATAAAAGCTGTTAAGTAAAAATATCGAATTAATTATTCAAATAATAAATTAAAACTATAGTAAATGACATTGGTGAATTTTGTATTACAAAAAAAATGATTTTATCCATATCCTAAAACCAATAGTAAAATTTGTCGTTTAGGATCAAGTAATATTACCCATGTTAACCTCTCATCATTTCTTTATAAATCATAAAACTTTATTTTTTTTAAATAACAGTTAAGCGGACAATATACTTTTTAATCACGGAACTTATTTGTGGAGTTGTGCGTGTAAAATATCTTTGCATTTTAAATAAATAACTACTCTAAAGGTTTTTTTCATGGTTATAAAATAACAATAAATTTTCCAAGCACATTTAGATTTCGCTTTTTGTCTTAATCTAAAAAATTGTACACTCGGTCCTACAAAACAGAAGCTATACCACCTATTGTTTCTTTTCCAGTAAAAATAGTTTTTCCTTAAATTTATATTATTTTGCTTATATCTGTAACGAAATAACAAAGCAAAAAACTCGAATTTTCCTCGGTTTACAAGATGTAAGTGTCCGTATGTGTGTTCCATATAGGAAAATCTTGCATAATTAATATCATAATGATGGCGATTATGGTAATAGTTTTGAAAGGCCACCGTATTACAGTAACGTAGCCTATGGTGCACACGATTTCCACCATATTATCGATCTCACGGACTCCCACGGTAGCAGATGCCCTCGGTAGGATTTACTGGATATCGTGATGATCTTCTGTGGGAAACCGGCCAACTGACCGGCTCTACTGTTGCCTACCACTTGCTTTACATACATTGAAATACAATGTTCGCCATCGCATAGAACTCCAATTTATTGGCAAACGGGTTATTCCAATAATGTGGATAAGTATAAATATAGTGTACAGATATATCATTGACTACATTGTGAGTTCCTTGTGCGCATGTAGTGGACACTTCTGTTAGAAGCTGTGAGTAAATTATCGTGTACTCCACTGACGGCTTCGTATTTGTTGGTATACGATAAGTTCAATTTTTTACAAAGGGGAGACAATTCAAATGACTAAGTAATTTACATGGTTCAAATTTGTCAACGATTGTAAAATTATCCGATCAACTACGATGGTAAACAGTAAAACACTGAAATTATCAATAATCGAGGTGATTGTGGATGTTTTAACACTATACTTAAATATTACACTATCGACATGTGTCTGTACGAATGTGTGTGAACATGGTAACCAGATGTGCGCCTATAGATTTCCACAATACGATATAAATGAGTTCATTATAGTTTTCTGTGAAATGTACTATTCTCTATTTTTTTCTTTTAATGAAGGAAAGGGTGTAAATAACCGTTGTAGAAAAATAACTCGAACCGGATATTATAAATTTCATAGATAACAAATGTGTTTTATAAAATAACACATTAATTACATTTATTTTATGTAAATTTAAAAAAAAAAATTGTCACTTTTGAAATTTTAGTACAAACAACATATGTTTAGCATATTTTCTATTAATGACAACATTTTATATTATTATATGAATTGTAATAAGTTGTGACATCGAAACTGTGATGCTTTGTGATCGAATTTTGGATTTGATTGAACAATAACAGTTAAGTAAATAAATTTGACGTAAACGAAGAACATTAAACTATTATATAGTTAGCTATTACTTTTATAATTGATAAATTTGATTGACTATCTGCTTTAAGTTTAAGTATTCACTCAATAATGAATGAAGTTAAACATAACAATAAGAAATTATCGCTTAAACATTTTAACCGATTACAATAATTGAAAAGTTGCAAAGTTACAGAAAGTTTCTTATAATAAATGTAAAATATTTTTTTTTATAATTGTTAGTTAAAATATTCAAAATTATAACAAAACTTCAATTTTGAGTCAATTTAAATAGAGCACGTGACAATTATCAATTTCAGTCAACGTTAGGTTTTGATTGCGATTTAAAGAGTCACAAGTATGTGACTCTGTATACGTATATGTATTCACATAAATGGGAAAATAGAAATTAGTTCATGTTTAATAACTTGCGATTAAAACAAGTAACTTTTGGTTACGATTTATCTTTTACCATATTCCATATAATAATATATTTAGTTTTGATTAAATTTGTATACGTATTTAAAATAAAATAAATTTTCTTTAAATATTTTTCTGAAATATGACCTTAATAAAAATAATGTATTTTTCATAATTGCATGATCATGGAATGGGGTATGAGTGTCTCTTTTTAAGCTTTAAAAAACAAATTAGTTTTTGATATCTTATATCCAATTTCAGAAAAAATATGTTATCTGATAAGAATTAATAAAAAAAAAAAACCAGCACAGGGGGGTCGCGGCACAGTGGTGACGTGGCATAGATGGATCAAGTATAATGATATCTGACAGTGATTAAAATCACTATAAAAAAAAAACGCTTCGATGCAAATCTTTAGATAGTGTTTAATTTTAAAAAATTGGTGGATTATTCCAAAAGCTACATGATCTGCTAGTTCATTATTAATATCCTAATTAAGATAAAGTATGTCGAATGAAAAAGGGATTATTAAAAAATATTATTTCTNAAATATAAAAAAGAATTTTTTTACAAAAATCGTATTTTTTTTATTAAGTTTAATGTCTGTTTTCACCATGAAGATAAAATAAAGTCCGAATTTTTTTTTTTTCATGATAAAGTATACTACATTAGCTTTAATTTAAGATATATATAAAAGTGTCAGACCTTCCGGAACATTTTCAAAAGTTAAGTTGAAAAAGTTAGTTTTTTGTGAAAAAGTTGACATTTTAAATCCCCCCTTGTGTGCAGGTTAAGGGTTAAATTTATGAAAAAAATATACCAAATGAAAAGTAATGATATTATGCATCTATATAAAACAGAATTATATTGATATGTTTATTTTTGAAAAAGTTATGGCACTTTTAAGTAAAAAAAATTGAAAAAATTTCGAAAATTAGCGATTTTTAAATTTGTAATTTTTTTGGAGGTTTCCCCCTTTTACGGGGAACGAGGGAATTTTTTTCAATTTTTGAGGGTAATGTCTTCGACTAGATACAATTTGTGATCTTTTGACGCATCATTGAAAGAAATCGGTTCGGTGAGAGCTGAGAAAAAGTGGTAACAGACACAAAAAAAAAAAAAAAAACACATCTTATTAAAACCAATACCTTCTCAGCTTCGCATCGAAGCTAAAAAATTAACTTAAATTTCTTTGCTTTTTAGTAAGACTATGGATGTGATCTTTTGACATATTTTTCATCAAAATCGGTCCAGCGAGAGCTGAGATTGAGCGTTCACAGACACAAAAAAAATAAAAAAAAACACATTTATTATTCGGCACATTTATTATTAAGTCGGTATTATCAATAAATACCGACAATTTTTCATCTGCTTGTAACGAACTAATTGTATTTTCTAAAAATGTTATAAAAGTTTACTATGAAGAATTAGATTTAAATAAATTAAATTAATTTATTAATTCATTTTTATTTATGTCTATCTCAACCATATGCAAAAGCAAATAAGGTGCTATATTAGTGTTTAAATAAATTAAATAACTTTATTCAGTAATGTTTTTTAGCTTCGATATCTATTTCGTTCTTATACATTTTATATATTACTATTTAATATTTCATAATATTTTAGCTTTGATGTTTATTTAATTTCTTAATTGATTAATATAATGTATTAATATTAATTATACTATATATATATATATATATATATATATATATATATGCTTTTTTTGTGCGTCTGTCAACTTTTTTCAGCTCTCACAGAAACGATATTTTTCAACGATACGTCAATATCATAAATTATAGCTAGTCGAAAATATTACCCGTAATATGTTTGAACATATTATTTAAATAATTAAAAATAATCAACCGCCGTGTTTTCTTAAAAATATAAATTTATATAATAACGTTAGGTACTAAAATATATATATCTAACACAGAAAATTAATAATTCTACTAAAATTTTACTTACTATAATATTTATGTAATTTAAATTTTGAATAATGTTACCCAAGATATTTTATTTTATTTTTTATACCTTTTGTATACTAACTACAAAATGTTTTGTGAGTTGTAAAATAAGATCAAAAACATATGAAAAATATTTGTCAGTAGTAATGGATCATTTAAGTGAACAAGTTGGATGGGATTCTATGCAGCATTTGGAAATTAAATACGACTTTTCTACAGAGATAAATACTAATATTAAGGACGTTATTTGCAAAGGGAGTCGTATAGTACTACCAAAAAAGTTCGAAGCTATAATTCATATTTTAAATTACACGTATACAGATGTCATTCACACATTTATTGATCATATTAGCGCTATAGCTAAACGATGTCAAGAATATTATGACTTCAACCAGGGAGATAATTTTTTAAGTTGTATAGTTTTACTTCAAAGTGCTGTGGAAAATTCGAAAACTATGTTTGAACAGTTATACAATGTAATGAACTATCTTAGCAACATAGATTTTAAAACATTAGCGAGTGCAAAAAAAACTTTCTCTGTACCTATAGTAGAAGAAATTTATACTTTTGTAGAATATGCAACATTAAAAATTCAACAAAATACTCAGATTTTTATCGATCTAAACGATCCTAAGACCAAAGAAGATGCTTATGAGGTTATTTTAGATGTGAACAGTTTTATCAAAGGAATAGGTAACGAAAGCTATCAGAAAATTAAAGAGAAAAATAGTTTAATTGTTTACAATCGTAAACCAAAGTGCTTACTTGAAGAAAATCTAAAAGACTATAATACGCGACAAAATAAAAACATAGAGTTGAGCTATTATTTAAGTGAATGGCTTAACATGTATTATGATGAAGTTTCTACAAATTTCTACAAAAATCTGGGTTTTGATGAAATTTTAGAATTAAATGATGCAAGGTAACAAAATCTATATGATATTATTGTAGAGTAATAGTAAACATTTATAAATTACTGTTTATATCATTAAATATTCTATTAATGAAAAAGTTTACAAGTCCAATATAAACATTATTATCAACAAACAAAAAAAATGTCTTGTTATAATGTTTATATGCTAGATAAAAGTCTTAGTCCCCTAACCCAATAAGAATTAATTATTATATCAGAAAATAATTTTATCGAACTGGATATGAACCAGTCAAACTTTTATTTAATTTATTCTACATGAACTAATAAACAAAGTAATAACAAGTTCATATTGAATTCTCAAAAGTTACCCCTTACGAATTACTTTTTCTCATAATAAACTTGATATTTACAATGATTCATAATAATTAATTAAATTTCTATGAAAACATTATTTACGATAAAACTTTGAGAAGTATATTTAATAAATCTCAGTGTATATATTTTTTAGTAATTTCAAACCTACACTTTATTCATATAAAAATATTTGTCATAAACAAGTAATCGAACAATTAAACACAATTACTAAAGGAAGTGGATGGAAGTCGTTGAAACATATTAATATTATATTTAATGGTCAAGTTATAAGCGTAGACCGTATTTTTAGACACCCAACAGACAGAATAAATTTTCATTGTAAAATTCAACATGTATTAAGGTTGATCAAGTGTATTTATACAGAAATATTGTTTAAGTATTGCAAGTATGTAATTTGCTTATTAAATTTTTGTGAAACGGATTATGTAAAATGTATTGATGAAGTATATATTAATCTTGCGAGACAAATTTTTGATGCAGTTAATGAGACAACTAAAATGTTTGATATAATATATAAAACATTGCTTTCATTACATAATTTAAGAGGAGAATATGATCATGACAATGTCAATTCTAATTTAATATCTTTGTGTACTTTAATAACAAACTTACTTAAAGAAATAAAATCTGGATATTGTTCAATGACTGTTTTGGGTACCAAAAATGATAACAGTAACCTGAAAGAAATGCAATTTCAAGCATCAACGTGCGTTAAACAATTCTCAGAATTTCTAAAATATTACAAATCGAAAAGTCAACCACTAAATAAAACGCATGAAAAACATTGTCGATTACGAAATTTATCGTTAAACATTGACATACCCGAGTCAATAAATACCGATAATTTTTCATCTGCTTGTAACAAACTTATTCTATTTTCTAAAAATGTTATAAAAGTTTATTATGAAGAATTAGGTTTAAATAAATTAAATTAATTTATTCATTCATTTTTTTTTACGTCTCAACCATATGCAAAAGCACATAAGGTTTTATAATTATTTGTTTGTTTAATCCACAAACCGCTTTTAAAGAAAGTCTTTAAAGACAGACTCATGTCGTTAGCTTACATAAAATTGTATTATTCACTCTATAAAAATAATAAAGAATACTATATAAATTACAAATAAAACTCTATGTGATACAAATATAAGTAATCAATAAAAATATCAATAAATATAAATTAGAATCAATTAATATGATTTTTAGTATGTTCATAGTTTGATTAAAATCAATAATCAGTTGCATGTCTATATAATACACACTAAAATTATCTATGAAATCTTTGAGTTAAAATTTAACTGTTGTCGTCTGTGTGGCAATTTAATTATGCTATTCGAACGGAATATAAAAACAAATAAATATACAGATTTGCATTGAAACGTTACTTACTATAGCGATACTCTGCATTATTTTAGATCTACTCTGATGGAAGCATGGCCTTCCTAGTGGTCTTCTCTCCCTAACAGCTTTGCCCGATGGCATCGGTCCAACGTAGCCCTTCCAAAATTCCGTGGTTCCATCAACTAGATCTTACTCGCAATATCATTTCAAGCTTTTCACGACTCAGACTGGGTCATAACCTTTTACCAGCATTCGCTTACAAATTAAACCTGAACTCTGTTCCCTTTTGCCATTTACATGAAGATGAAGTCCTCGGAGATTTTTCTCACTATATATTAAATTGCTCCTCCTTGGCGCCTAATAGGTGCTTGCTTATAAAATTTTTAGAATCCAATATAATTTCTAATTTTGTTCTATTGTACTAAATTCCTATTCTATTCCCGTGATTACTGCGATCATTTATTTTATATTGAGCGCTGGCTATACTATTTAACTACTTTATTATATATTATAATTTATTGCATATACTTTACTTTTATTATACTAACACCCATTATTCTTGTAATTCACAACGCTAATTAATACTATATTATTTAATTCTTATGTAATTGTCGAGCTATAATATTTTCATAATAAAAGCTAATAAAAAAAAAAAATAAGTCATTAAGAGCGGCAAAATTGAATAATCCCGGCCATAATTCCTTAATATGGCTCTGTCTATGGTTTAGTTTTATTGACTAGAAATGCTCTGCATTTCTAGCAAAGGATAGTGGCGACGGAAGCAAATGATAACGGAAAAAAGTGCAACCCCATCGTACACAGTAAATCTAACAAATTCAAACCCACGTGAAACCCAGCAAAGTGGGATCGGGAGCAAATTATAACGGAAAAAAGTGCAACCCCATCGTACACAGTAAACCCAACAAATTCTAACCCACGTGAAACGCAGCAAAGAGGGATCGGGAGCAAGTGCAACCCCATCGAGCAAAGTAAACCTAACAAATTCAAACCCACGTGAAACCCAGCAAAGTGGGATCGGAAAAAATTGCAACCCCACCCCACAACAAATCCAAACCCGTCCACTATTCTAGCAGAGGCTGCAAAAGCGAAGTTAGATGATTTCGGAAAAAAAGTCCAAACGTTTCGAACGTACGTCTCGCTACGGAAACCAAGGGTTTGCTACGCGATCTAGAGAAGAGACGGCAAAGGCCGGTTACCAAGTAGGTAATAGATAACGGAAAGGGGTATCCGGCTGCGCCGGATACGTTGCGTTGAACAATAACAGGAGAAATCGGTAGCACGCCCGACGCGTCGATCGGGTTAGGGGGGGGAAATATACAGAAGTAGAATACTCACTAAAACCGATTAATATTTCATATTAAAGTAGAGTATTCGAAATTAAAGTACGTCGAATGTATCTAATGGAGTAGGCAAAAACGAATATTCCAAGTATTCTCTAAATAAATAAATATTTAAACTCGTAATTTTTAAAATAATACAATAGTGAATTGTTCGTCATTCGAACAAAACGATTATGAATCGAAAATTCAATGTATAACAATCGACTAAGTAAGAGTCACCGTGCACGATAATTGCCATACATAAAATGTAAAATCTGATACAATATCGATAATAAAGTCTTAATGTATTTAAAATTATTGCACACATAATTATTATTTTTTCAAATAAAAAAGTAATATAAATATGAAAAATCTAGTTTCATTATTGGTCACCAACACACATAAAAAAAAGTTTTATTCATATTGAAATACAGTACTCGAAATATAATTTGAATGCATTAAAATAATTAATAATATATTAAATGTAAAATTATTTATTAAAATAATTTAATATTTTTCGACCTACGGTAAATAATATTGTAAACATAGGATATTAGTTTCTTTTAAAAATAAAAAAAAAAATTAACGTTTCTTTATTAATTAATGTTTTATTATTGTCTTGATCACACACACACACATAAAAAAATTTAGTGGTTATTGAAGTAATATACTCCAAGTACAAATAGATATAATTATTATTAGAAAAATACGGTTTAATGAGAGACTCAAACGTAAACAGATACAATAATATCGGTAAAGGAATTACGTTGTAAATTAAATAAGAAATAATCGTTTTCGATGAACTCCAAGAGCGAACTGCACGTAGTAATCGTGATGATCCTCTGTCGTCGAACGGCAATATCTTATGGAATCGTTGTTTGACAATCTGAAAAGCAAACGATATAAATGAAAATAAAATCTAAGATAACAACTAACGAAAAGCTTACAGTACCGTTTTGGAGGAACGGCGAACAGTGAGGGAGGGCAAGCATAGGCAAAAAAATAAACCAACAGCACAAAACTATCAACACGTTGTGAGTACAACAGAAGTGAAAATATTGTAGATTTACCAAAGGCGCCGTGCACTATCTAAAATTTACAAATCACATTAATTAATATACAGTCACTATTATAATAGAGGAGAAAAAAAAAGATTTCATTCATCGTACGATTATCCAATACACATTTTAATAAATAATAACGTTGTTGCCGTTATACTTTCATCAGAAAAGATATTCATATAAAATACAATTGCCGTTTATGTAATAAGATGAACTCCATTGCAAACAATTCGATAAATAATTGCATAACTAAAAATATATATATATAAATATACACGTACGAAAAAATCAAAAACATTTGGATCTTATCGGCCGATGCAGTACACATTACATTGTAATCAACAATAAATAAAATAAGCCAAAATCAGTTACCTGTGTAATACAACCATTATGAATTAGAGCCAGCACTCTTCGGGTCGGTTGGCCACTAATCAATCACAGTCAAAACAGACGCACGGACTGAAAATTACAAAGTCAAATCAATTAATACTGCCATTACCATAATAATAATAATAAAATATCTACAATATAAAGTATATAAGTGTAAAAATATATTTATATGTATGTATATATATATATATACATACAGAGATTGTGTATAGGCTGATGTAGCACCAATAAATAAAATACGAATCAAACTAATGATTAATATATGCAAAGTAAATCGATTAAAATGTTTAAAGATGAACTCTATTTTAAGAAAAGTCAATAGCAATAAATTTCTTTTGACAAATGAAAATAAATTACCCGTGCAATAAATCCAATAGCGATGACTGTCATCAATCTCTAGCATAGTTGTTATCCTGGCACCACAACGGTAGCACAATCTAAAAATTACAAAAACCACTTAAATTAATACAACCATTACCATAATATGTTATACAATCAACAATATTATACAACCATTATGAATAAGAGCCAACACTCTTATATATATATATATAAATATAGAGAGAGAGATCGTATACACTGATGTAGTACATATTGCACCAATAAATGAAATACAAATCAAACTAATGATTAAAATGTATAATGATGAAGTCTATTTTAAAAAAAGTCAATAGCAATAAATTTTTTTTTAAACAAATGAAAACGAATTACCTTTGCAATAAATCCAATAGCGATGACTGCCATCATCAATCTCTAGCTTAGTTGTCGTGGCACAACAGATACCATCTGAAAATTACAAAATCAAATTAATTAAAACTGCCATTACCATAAATATCTACCTCTATATACTGTCTTACTAATATCTTCTAGAATCTACAATTTTATTATACGACGATTGCTGCGAAATCGTCAATAGTACATTTCAATAAAAAAACAATCGCAAAGGGAATCAAAGATATAAATATAGTATATGCAAAAAAAATTAAAATATATACGTATACATTTATAGAGAGAGAATGTATTGACTGATGTAGTACATGAATATAGCGACTATAAACAAAATACAAATCGACCTAATGATTAACATACGCTAATCTATATTAATTTAAATGTAAAGGATGATCTCGACTTTGAGAAAAATAAAACGGTTACAATAAATTATCGTTTAATGAAATAAAATAAATTACCCTTGTAATAATAATAAATCCTAAACCAACAGCGATTTCCAGCGTATTCTTACGGGCACAACAGATGAGAGTCTAAAAATTACAAAATGAAAATTAATTTATCGATGCCATTACCACCATTTAAAAAAACAAACTACATTAATTACTGACCGACTAATATTATTTAACAAACAATAAAAATGAATTACCCGCGTAATAAATCCGTTATCCTTTAGAACCAGCACTTTTGGCCAACAGGCTGAACCGTTATCGAAGCGTACCACGTCAGGACGCAACAAACGCCGTCTTGTAAAAGTTGTAAAATCAAATAAATTAATACTGCCATTACAACGATTTTGAAATTATATCGATTACAATCGTTGTAAAAACGTCAGCGCACAGGTTTTTTTTTCGTTTTTTTTTAACGAACAGAAATGCGTTACCCGTTTAATAAATCCGTTGTAGATTGTTAACAGCACTATTGATTGAGCCAGCACTCTCGGCCAACGGTTCGAACCATTATCGAAGCAGTCTTCCGGGCACACGACAAACGCCATCTAAAAATTACAAAATCAAATCAAATAAGACCGTCACAATATCGACAATTAATAATATAATCGCCGTAGTAGTAGAAAATTTACAAAATCACATTAATAAACGAATACAGTCAATACACTATATTGAAATAACGACAGAATAAACGATGCACAAAACGGCGGCGCGATGATAACGAACACGTTTGGGCGTCGGACGCGGCGATAACGACGAAACGGGGGGAACGCGACAGGCCGAGTGGGAGGCGCGCTCCCCTATTTCGCGTCGTTTTCCGTTCCAGGAAATAGCGTTTTTCGTGAATTTAAGAAAACGGGTACGGCGAAAAATTCGAGCGGCGGTCGGAAAAGACGCGGGACCGTAAGAGCCGTCGAACAGTACGGGAACGGAGGCGATAGGATTAAGATCGGAATTTTAATGAGGAAAAAACGCAATATTTCTTCCAGGTGGAGCTTATTTTAAGGGGCTTACGAAAATAGTATATAGAGGGAGAAAAACGAAAATAGTATATAGAGGGAGAAAAATAGTATATAGAGGGAGACGAGAGATTATCAATGAGTAGCATAATAATAGCTCGTTTAAAGAAAAAAAATCACTTAAATCATTGTACCGAGTAATATATTGAAGGATATCCACTAAGATTTTTATGTTTCGACTAATATTAATTGTAATCTTTTCTTTTAAATGAATAATGACTTATTAATATCTAAATATGTTCACATTGTCAGAATATAAAATCTAACGAAACAATTACAAATCGATGCATTCCTTTTTAATAATTACTCTACTACGAACCTTTTAAGGAATTTTTAATTACGGTGGTTATCATAGATGATAATAAGACATCTGTAAATCAACTGCAGAAGAAATATTTCAGTTAATATTTTTCATTTTAATGAATTTCATCAATTAATTACTTATAAAAAATAATTGATAAGTAATTTATTTAATATAAAGATGTAAAATATGCTTATACTTTTGTGGTGGACGCTATAAATAGCTCATAATAAAACTCATAAAAATATTTTTTCTTCAGTAGTAATTTAAAATTATTCAAGACATGTAATATAGTATAATTTTTTTCTTTTTTGAATTATCCAGCTTTTGTTTGATTAAAAATTTTGACATTAACTTCATAATTCTGAAATAAATACATAAAAAACAAATATCACTTATAAAAAACATTTAATTTTAATCCAATTTGTACAAATGGTAAATTATATTTTGCTTGATATTTAATCAATATACAGCAATTTTTCATTTGAAAAGGTCAAAATTAAATAATATTAGATCCAATAGATTTGAATACATAGATAATAATAATTTTATTTATTAATTGATTTATTTTTAACATTTAAAAACAATTTTTTGTGTTTTCTGATTCAATTTTACAATAGAGCATGCCCATTTAATTTAAGGATGATATTTTATTTCACTGTAAGAATATACAATCGTGAATAGGATTTGTCTATGAAAAGCGCCGTATATGTTATACTATTGAGCATTGATAGTACTATCTATACTCAATGGGTATATTTAACTAATAATCATAAGCGTAATATGATAAAAGAACCGGACTCAGATTAATCTGATAAGGTTTATCAGTATGATAAAAGCCACGAAAACAAAATAATTAAGTTTGCCGATTATTTTTATTGACTTTTATTATTTTATAACTTAAACTACGGCCTCGGTCGTACATTTTTAAAAGCGATTGAAATCGCATGATTTAAGTATGAACATTATTATATAACACATAAGTTAATGTTATTTTTTATAATTTGAATGTATTATGTAGGCTGTTTGTAATTGTTGTGACATGATTTTATATGCATTAATATTAAGAAGCCGGGATCTTCTACCTTTGACATCCACTACTAATTATCACTGTAACGGGGAAAGTGCTATTGATCTAAAAGGAATCAATCGAATTGTGAAAAACATATTAAAAAGATCGGATACTACAAAAAATAAGTGCTTTTTACGCCTTAACGAAAAAACTTACTAGTTAGTTATTGATATTTACTTAATAGTCAATTAAGTTTTTGTATATAATAAAGTAATCAACAGGTTCTTTATTTTTATATTTTATGTTTAATTATTGTCATAATTTTTTTTTTATTATCGTGTAGGGGTATATAGGCTACATTTAAAAACAACCTCAATTATCATAAATTCTGTCCGAATTTTTCATTAAATTATAGAACTATGAGTAAAATTTAAATCTCATTTAAATATTTTCTCTTAATTTCAAGTTAAAATTATTTTTTGAATTTTTTTTATATCATACTAAAATAAGATATGTGAATTGACCACGCTTATCCTATTTAAGTTTTTCGAATATTACTTTAGTTAAAATATGTTGATGCATTTATAATATTATAAAAAAAATTATGCCTGTGTTGTTATTGTGATAAGGTTTATTCAAATTGATTAACTTATATAGATTTCATTCTATATATGGGCTGCTGACCATGTGATGATATAATTCTTAAATAAAAAAATTGATGGTAAAAATCATTATATTTTAAAATCTATTTTTAGCTATTTATTATATCAATTTTTATCACTTGTTAAAAAAATTAACAAATATCTATAGTACTAAATTTTAGATAATAAATTTAATTTTATCGTCAATTACAATTATACAAAACTTTTGTATTACATTGTAGTAGTTCTTTATAAAAAAAACTATTGATAAACTGATAACTTAAGTATTTTATTTTAAATTATACAATTATTTTAATCAAATTTTTATTCACCTAATTATGATGTATTAAAAAATTTTATTTTTACATTAAGTTTACATTAACATATTTCAGTTTTCTACCATGTTTAAATATAATCTGTATGGCAATGTGTATATCTTCATACCCCCAAGTTCTGGCTTACAGCTTTTTAGAAGAATTAGCTGGGGAATTCACAAAGAAATATGATCGCTTTAAAGTTGAGCAAGCTTTAAGGCCTTATAGCCTGATAGAATTCGGTAAATTAATATTTAATGTTAAAAGACTTATTTTTTATAAATTTGAATTTTTAGATACTACAATACATCCTATTCAGCAAACATATAATAAACCTCAACAACTTACATCTAGAATTAACTTATCTGAAATCACACGTGATATTAGTTTGGATCCACCTCAAGAAGTATTTTTAATTGAAGCTAACTCATCTCATAAAAATCATACACATCAGGTTATTCCTCCAACAGTAAGAGGTACATTTAATGTTCTTAAATTTATGTGGTAAAATCATGTAATACAAATTAATAATATTTCTATTGTTTATTTAATTCTATTATGTTTTTTTAGTTGGACCATTACCTACATTAGAGCCATTATCATTTTTGGACAAAACTGTGATGGTTTTGACAATGAGTTTAATTATTCATAGTGTAGTTGATATTTTGGGGGTATTGAACAGCTGGTCTTCAGAAGTAAGCATTATTAATTTAAAACTATTATAGTTTTTATCAAAATTCAATGAGAACAATTTCAATTGTAATGTGTATTAAATCAGTCACTTAGACAAATATACTATACTAAATTAGGAAAATGTTGAATATCCAAAATAATTTTGGTGTTACTTTGATTAATCCAACAGATTAAAAAAGAGGGACAACTATGTCTTTATAATTGTTTCTCATAACTCCTTTGATTATTTCATCAAAGAATTAATTTTTAATAAAAAAAATGTATTTATTATAATTAATATATTATTTATTTTTCAGGAAGAAACTTCCCTAGATACTAGTTGGTTACATTTTTGTAGTATTCTTTTACGACTTGCTCAACTGTATGTTCTCACACAAAAACAAATGTACAGGCAAATAAAGGGATGGGTTTTATTTGTTATGTTATTAATTTTAGGTTGGTTTTTATTTTGTGAAGAAGAAAGATGGATTTTAAGTTTAGTGTTTATTATCACTTCATTTACACATGTATGCATATTAAGGCGTAAAATTGCTATCAAGTTACCACAATATCAGATATAAAAAAATAATTAAATTAAATTTTTTTTTTCTTTTTGCTATCATAAATTTGTAAATTTAATTATCATATTAATAAGATGAAATTTTGTTGAAGTAAAATTATGCTAAGTAATTATACTTTTATAACAACTGCAATACTATTGTTTATACTGAAAATATTATTTATTTAACAAAATTATTTTTTAAATATGTTTTTTTTATTTAGATATTATGAAAAATGATGCTAAAATGGGTATTATATTTACATTTTAATCACAGAAAAATCTTTGTCTCATTCATATGATGCTATATTCATAAATTAAAGTTATTATTAAATAGGAGGGAAAAGGTTGAAGTGCAATGAATTTTGTTAGTAAGAATTATTACAGTGTGAATATATTATTTTTTTTTGTTTGGAAAAGGTAATAAATACTTTTCTTTTGTATATGCCCCCAAAAAACAAAACTATGTCATTATTATGCTATATGAGGGGCACGAAGCACATGCCTTATTCGGTATTTATATTGTTCCTGCACTAATTGATATAATTTAAGAAATTCAAAGCATTTTATAAGAGATATCTCAAGTATTTGTTAAAGTGTCTATGAGTAAGTTTTAAAATTAATATTCTGATCACTCGAGAATTAAAAAAAAAAAATACTCATTGTAAACCATTTAATAAATAGTTTTAATATTGGCTTCAAATCAAAAATTGATTTTGTTAAATTAAATAATTATTCAAGTAAATGCAATCAGATAACATTAAAATAATATATTTTATTTAAAAATAAATAAATAACTATGCTTATGATAGTTCAAGTACCAAAATAGTAAGTATATACTATCAATATTGTTTTATTAAAATGATTACAATAATTTAGCGGTAAAAACAACTCTGGTCAAACATATTTGAATGAATTAATAAAACAAAATATAGAACATACCTTCGAAAAAAAACATATTACTTAACAGTTATTTAGAAATTAACAATAAAAATCACCAAACATTGCATCATCAATTTCTTCAAAAATGCTTTGTATTGCAGATACCTCGTTGACCAATATTTTATCTTCAGACTTATTATCATAAAAATCTTTTCTAAATTTTTTAGCAGGTGGCTCTTCAGGTGTATTGCTAGTATTTTTAAACAATATTTGTGACACTGGTATTTTAGGTGTAAAGAAGCTTTTACTATTTGAAGAATTTTGGGGAACATTACTTAAAATAGTCTTAGGTTGATTATCAGAAACTGAATTTGATAAAGTATCATGAAATTTCAAGTTGATCAAAGCAACCTGTCTGTCACTGACCTCACAACTTTCTTTTCTATATAAATTGTTCAAATCGGTCGAATGCCATCTCTTGGCTGTATTAATTATTTCTTCATTTGTTTGACTTGTCATACGTGTGATAACTACTTCATGAAAATTATCTAGTAATAATATATAATTATTTAATACTTAATAATAATTTCAATAAAATTTGATAATAAAAAAAAATTACTACCTGGAGAATGGCTATACATAGCAATCAAATGATCATTAGTTATATTCAAAGTAAATCCCTTTACAATACGTTGACAAGATACGCCGACATTGGATAAAACTAAAATAGTTCCAATTTTCAATTGACTACTAAATTGAGTCCATACATCTCTATGAATCGTTCCTTTAATAAGTCCAGTTTTATCAACAAGAATTAGAGAAGGATCAGGTGACAAACAATCTATTTCTTGTATAACTGAGACAAAAAATGGTATCTTATCTGTAAAAAATCTACCTGAAGCTGTGAATGGTAGAAGCTTTTGTTTTATCCATGCAACATTGTATTTTTCTAATAAAATATTTATGTCTGTATTAGAAAAATCTAATAGGAACTGTTGATATGGAGTTGAAGAAAAAGATGATTCATTTGAAGGCAAATTTAAATTCTAAAAAAAAAAATGAGGTCATTTTAATAACTCCAGTAAAGATATACAAATTTTTTAAAATTTAATTTTAAAAGATTGTTTTTTGATCAACTATCAATTTCTCTATGCCTAGAATATAATTATTTATTGTAATATTGTATAAAAAATCCTTATTTTATTAATGATATATTGTTAAAGTGCACTTAAAAAAATAACGATTTGTAAATCAAATTCATTGTTTACATACTTCATCATTTTTTTCATTTTCTGTAATGCTTATTGAGGCATCCAATGATTCTAAATTTGATGGATCTTCAGTTATTAAATCTTCCTTAAATAAAATAATTAACATATATTTAGGATATAATAACACTTAGGTTATAACACTTAAGTGTGTAAACCAAATAAAGATAATTCTGTATGAGGTGTGCATAATGGACCAACAGGTCTGAGTGCATGGGCATTATGTCCACCTCACTAATAACTAAAACTAGGATAACAGTTATCTTTACAGAAATATTTATTAAAAAATATAACATATTTATATATTACTTTTTCAGTTAAAAGACCAGCTGGTCCTGGAAATTTTCTTGAAATGCATTTTGGCGTCATTGTCTTTACACTTGATATAGTTGTATTAAATGAATCATGACAAATAGATTTATTACTTTCTGAAAAGTAAATACAGTAATGAACTTTTATATTTATAAAAAATGTATTTCAATATTATATTAGGGAAGAAAAATAGATATCAACAAAGCATAAAACATGTAACAAGCATGAACCTAAATATTTTTAATTTTCTTTTCAATACATTTGTATTACCTTTAGTATGAAAAGATTTTAATGCAGTAATATTGTTATTTGATTTAGAATTTAGTATTTCCAAAGCCTCAATTTGTACATTTGTTGAGTTGAAAAATGCCTAGAATTGATGAGTAATTAAATTAAAAATTTTCATTTTTATAAAAAATTTAAATAATTATCAATTTAAAGTATTACCTCATCATCAGAGTCAAAATCTGCATCCAACTGAAATTGATGATTTTTAACACATGAATTTATTTGATTTTTACTTTCTTTTTCAGCCTTTAATCAATTATAATATACTAATTAATTAACATGTTATCAATATCATAAATTAATTATGTAACTTACATCTTGTCCCAAGTTTTTGTGATTTTTTCCATCATTATGTTCACTTACTTCATTATTTTGAAGTTGCGTAGAATTTAATTCATAAACTGAACTTGATATGTTAAATAAATCCTATGAATGTAGTATTATAATTAAATTTAATAAAATAATAATTAAAGTAAAAATAGTCAAACAAATTCTTACATCATCTTCTTCTTGATCAAATTGAGGACTAGATATACAATTTGTATTTGGTATTTTTACAACAGATGATTTGTTAGGAAGAATTTGAGTACTAAGAAATATCTAAAATGTTATAATATATATTTTTTTATTGATACAGTAAAACATAAAATTGTCAATGTACAATATAAAGTAGTACAAGTTTAGGTACCTTGCAGCCATTAAATTGTGTTCAAAATAATTTTTTAAGTTTTGTATCTTATCAATGTAAAAGTACTTTATACAAGTTACTATGGGATAATCAGTATTTAAATTTAGAAAATGTAGACTTTAGAAGCAAAAAACTAAAAGTATCATTTTTATATAAACTTTTAAACAATATTATTATTTGTTCTGATTTATTAGACCGTAAAAATTATAGTTCATTAATATATATATAGAGAAAAGCATTTGATTTATATAAAAAAATTGTCTTCAAGATACATGGAATTTGTATCGCATAATATTCTCATGAGGTTTGGTAATATTTTAAAAAATAATGTTGATATTATATTTTTTTAAGTTATTTAGATTTTACTTAAGCTTGTTTAATATAATTTAAATTGCAGTATAAAATAAATTATAAATACCTTGTATTTTATTATTATTAAATAATCAAGTTACGAGTAATAATGTATAATGAATATTAAATTTATGTTTTAAATACTCTTTTAGTCATTTGTTTAATTCAATGTTATATAAGTATATAACACAATCTATATTTGTCAGATAATTAATTAATTATGTTTAAATATTGGAATATTTTCATGAAATAATTAAATAATGTTTACAATATAAGGAAAAACAATGCTTTCTCTCTATAAATAGCTTTTAAATAAAATATTTATTCATATTTATTGCTTACTTCATCATCTAAATCAAATTCTTCATTTAATTCAAACATAGTTTAATATTTGATGTTATTATTTTTTTTTAATCATTATTTTGGAGTGTATCACATAATTTATTATAATATTATGAAATTAATAAAAATATATCAATCAAAATATATATTTGCTAAAAATCTTTTTATGAAATAATTAATTATTTTGTAATTGGGTTTTTAAAACAAAATCTGATTATCGTATACTTATCTATATTCGTAACGGTTAATATTTTTTTAATGTGATAACATTATCATTTTATGATAATATAACAGTGCCAGAACACTGAATAATATCATAATTGGATGCACTAGTTAATAACATAACCTCTTATAATACTGTTGACAATATATTTTCCTCTCTTACATTTCACAGTACTAAGCAGACTGTAAATCTTAATTTGGTTGTTTTGCAAGAAGTGTAACTACTTTTCAAAATGGTAAGTTTTATCCAAATTTATCTAAATAATCCTTTCATTGCAAAATATTGAGTAAAAAAAAAATAAAGTTATTGTTTCTTTGTTTTTGTTAATGGTAGAAAATATAATTAATTTTATCTTTCACTATATTTTAACTGTAATATTCATAATATTATTTTTGATAATGTTGTGTATTCGATGTTTTGCTCACATTTAATATTTTATTTTGGATTACCAAAATTAATTATTTTTTATTTTTACAGGCCAAACGTACTAAGAAGGTAGGAATTGTAGGTAAATATGGTACCCGATATGGAGCTTCTTTACGTAAGATGGTTAAGAAAATTGAAATCACCCAACACAGCAAATATACCTGTTCATTTTGTGGAAAAGTATGTTGTAGTTTTAAAAATTAAGTTGATTCTTTAAATATTTCAGTAAATACTTGAATGTCAACTGTTAACATTTTTTTTCAAATTAATATTTTGGTTGTCAGTAGAAAGCTTGTTGTTATATTCTTATATCTATAATACTAATTTGGCAGTGTCAAGTAAAAAGGGATAATGCCAAAATTGTAATCTTTTTAATAATAAAATTATTAATAGATAAAAGATAGTAGACTTTGTTATAAGAAATAATTTGTAATATTACTAATAATAAACAATAATATAATAATCATTTGTAATCATATAAATTAACATAACTACTTAACTGTAATTTATTTTTCTATAATTGAATTTAATGTAAAATAATTAGTTAGCTAAATTTATTTTCATTTAAACAAAAATTAACTATTATTTTTATTCAGGAGCTTTTAAATTGATAGTTCTAATTTGAGTTTCATTTATTTATATTAAGGTTTCCCTAACTAAATTAAGTTGTTGTGTAGTTACATGCAATAGTCAAAGAAAATAGTTTTGGAGTAGGAAGCACAGCTCCTGCTAATTGTTTTTGTCATAAAGAATTTTTATTCCCTTTAATATATTCCCTCATAGCAATATCATTTGACCACCATACTTTGGTTAAATTTAATTGTATTAGAATGGTAATTTTACTAAACCATTAATTTATTTAGGTATTAACATTAACTTATTCTAATATGTTAATATTTTTAGGAATCTATGAAGAGAGCTTGTGTTGGTATTTGGTCTTGCAAACGCTGTAGAAGAACTGTAGCTGGAGGAGCTTATGTATATTCCACAACAGCAGCCACTACTGTTCGGTCAGCTATCAGACGTTTGAGGGAAGTCAATGACTTGTAATTTTTTGATATTTGATTATTAATAATATAAGGACATTGAAAAAATCAACTAGTATTGTTTTTTAGTGATCATTTTCTTCCTTGCTACAATATTTACTTTTTTTTTAAAATTAATTGGATAGTAAATAATAAAAAGTAGGCAGTCATATTAAAGTAAAAAACTGATTTTGTAAAAAGTTATGATGTGTAGTAAGGGATGTCATTATACAAAAAAAGAATTTTTTTGTTAATTTAATATATCCTATTGATATAACAAATGAATCCATATTTTAAATTAAAATTTGTATTGTATTGTGCAATTGATTTTTTTCTTAATCAATCATGTAAATTGTACATTTTTAGAGAAGTTAATATCTGCAAGAATAGTAACACTACTCAACATTTTTTATCTTTCTGATTTTAAACTAACATATGAAGAGTATATTAATTAATATCATTAAATTATAATTGGGATTCATAATTTACAGAACTAAAATAAATATCAACTTTTATTTCATAAAAATTTTGTTTGATTTATAATTATAATTAAAAAATGACAATTCATAAAAATATAACTTAATTTGTTTAAAAGAAACAAAAATTGTATTAAGTACTATGAAAAAAGTCAAGTCTCACTCTTATTTATATTTATTTTTGATATCCATTAATTTTTTTCTATGTCTACTTGCATATTAATTTGCATTTAAATTTAAATAAATTTTACTTAGGCTATCCAAAAATATATTGGAGATAAATTAGTGATCTTAATATTATACATAGTGGTCCACGATGTTTTGGCAAATCTAATAAATATTTTGTGTTAGTTTTTTTTTAATTATTAAACTTTACTATGAAAATATATATCTTTTTTTTTTAATTTACTAAAAAAAAATATTCTTTTTTAATTTGAGAAAATTTAAATAAAATAATCAATGTTTTTTAAAACATTTCAAATAGAAGTTTAGTACCAAAATCTACTTTGTACGATTTGTTGTTAAATTTTTACAACATTTTAAATTATGAATAAATTTGATTATTTTTATGTTTATTTTACAATGTCAAAATTAGTTTATCTAAAGACGAAAATAGAAGTAAAGTATATTTTTATATTAAATACATATTATTAAAAGTTTTCTATGAAAACATTTTTAATATTTGATATTGTAAAATAAACACATGAAAATTTAGATTCTTATAAACTTCAAAATGCTATAGAAAATTTACTACTGAAAATTAATAATGTTTTCTTAATCTACTATAAAAGATTTATTAAAAAATCGTGAGTCACTCTATATACAGTCGAACTTGGTTAACTCGAAGTTGAAAGGACCGGAGTAAAAGTTCGAGTTATCCAAAAAAAAATTTTAAAACAGTACTGTATGTCTGTATATTAATTCCTGTGTTTATTATAAATAAAATATGAAATGTGCAATAAAAATTAGTATGTATGTATATGTAATTTTAAAAAGGTAGGTAATGTATGTACATATAAACAAAAATGAGGTTAAAAAATTATTTAAAAAAGGTATTTATTTTTGTTTGAGTTTTGCTGTTGATTGCAGCGTTTGTAGTGAATCGTCCAGTCGTCGTCGTCGTAAACCGTAGATAAACAACTTATCGGTAACGATAACATTAATGACTAATGAGTAATGACCTTTATAGATAAATGAGGGAAATTTTATACAAAAACATATGTATTAATAAAACTCAAAACTTCGAGTTATCCATGAAAATATTCGAGTTAAACAAGATTTTTTTACATTGTTTAAATAGGAAATTCTAGGGACCGGAGTAAAAGTTCGAGGTATCGACGATTTCGAGTTAAAGAAGTTCGAGATAACCAAGTTCGACTGTATTTTGATATATTTTATATTTAAACCATGTTAATTCCCCATTGCACTCCTAATTTTTTGTAAATTTAAAAACAAAAGAAATAATTTCAAATTTATTTGTTTTACATCGGTTGATATAAGTTAATTGATTTCAGACACTGTGCTATAGTCATTGGGTACTAGAGATATGTGCATTACTTCTACATTTTTTCTTATTACGGTAGTTTGTAACTAATAGTTCTATTATTTTTGTGTATTTTTCTTTTGGTTCTTTTTGTCTGCTGATATTATATCAACTTGAGTCCCATAGATGGTTACTGTGTTCTCATTATTTGGCTTGGAATTTAACTTTGTTACAGTTGTTTGTTTTAATATTTTTGGAGCAAACATTTTTTGAAAACCATTATCATTCTAGAATTCCAATTAAAATATGATTGAAAATAATTCAGAAATTAAATTGTTTATTGGTAGTTAAAGGGTTGAATGATAGATTATTTTAATATTTTAATGAGGGATCCTTTTTAGTGAAATCCTGAAATACTTTATGAAGTATCATGACAATTCAGCCCTGTATCAATTCTATACTAGATACATTTTAATTTTACTGTTTAATTTGACAAATTAATATACAATTATATAGTAATTAACTAAAAACTTCAATATAATTTTGTGACAATTAATGTTTTGAAAAAAGTTTACTGAAAATTCATATATTTTGCGTTACAATCTTTTCATTTTTGGTTGATAATATGAAAAGTTAGGCATATTTACTATAGTGTAACTAATAATGTAACAAAGAATATTCTCAAGAAATTTTTCACAGTAACTGCAATATTCTTTAAAATCTTCCTGTATTTCCACGCATATTACGAGATAGAAAAAAAAATACAAAACTAAATTATTTTTATAAGGGTACATTCCTTAAATAGAATGGAAAGGTTCTAACGCAAATTTTTAGACTTTTCAGAAAAGCGTTTTTATGTTCAATTTTTTTTTTGTAATTTATCATTATAAATCTTTTATATTTTAACTATACAGAGTGTTATACTGAATATAATACACCTTACAAAAGAGCTTTATTGTAGATTTCACTGAAAAATCTCCATTAAAAAAAACTATATATATTTACTGTAAAATTAACTCAATTTGGCCGTCAAGTATAAATTTACTAACTCTAATGTACTAAAATAATAATAATGTTAATTTTTTTGTTAGTTTATTTTAGTTCTATGTTTTTTTCAATCTATCAATCATAAAGTATTTTTTATGTTCATCCCTTATATCTTATAATAATATCAACTTTAATTTTTCAATTGGCAACATTTATAATTAACTAATTTATTTATTAGATAATGATGTAATTAAATAAATGACTGGTTAATAACAACTTTTGGACTATAATTTCAATAGTTTTTATAAATTTAAAGTAATAGATAGAACTATTTTTATAACAAAACATTTCTCAGCCACATTCCTCCTCTCCTATAAATAATAATGTTAATAACTTCTTAAATATTGGTCAAAAGTTATTATTATCAACTAGTCATTTGCTTAATTGTATCATTATGTAATAAACAAACTACTTAATTATATACAACTTTATAAAGTAAAAGGATACATAAAAAATACTTGATTGATAAATTGAATAAAACATTGAACTAAAAGAAACCAAAAAATTATTATTTTTGATTAATTAAGTGTTTTATAATGAGTGTATTATAATAATTATTATAGAATCACTCTGTATATGTTTTAACCTTAAAAAAGCTCATATGAATCATATTATAAATAATTATTTAAAAAAGTTATCTCCCTTAGAACCAAATTATTAATTTAAATAAAAATAATGTATTTTTCCAGAAATATTGTTACTCTATTATCATGTCCAACCCTTTATTCATTTAATAATATGTTTTACTTTTTCTGAATCCATAAATGTGCTCAATATTTTCTTTAACTCCTTGTTTTCAATTTCGATTTTTTCTACTTCATTTCTCTTCCTATTATAAGCTAAATAAAAAAAATATATACAAATTAATGTTAGGTAATATTCTTTATCTATTCACTGTTTAGGTTTTGAACTAATGGGAACATTAAAATATTATGTTCCCATTAATAAAATAAAAAAAAAGCTAACAAGAAATATCTATTGTTCTGTGTGTTTAGGTAGATAAAAGTAATTAAATTACATATAAAAATGTTCTCTATGACCATTATTCTTATTTTTTTAAATTGGCGAATATTACTTCAGATACACATTCATATAAGTTATTATGTCAGTTAACTATTTTTCAATAACTATTATATAATAGAACAAAAAATTATATGATTAAATTGTACCTAACCTACAGTATAGAGTTTAATATTTATAATATAACTGTCTATAATATATGCATTGCATATGGTATAAAAACAATAATATATTTAAATTTCGCACAGTAAAAGTGAAAAATAAACAAGATTATTTAGTCATACAGAATTTTACTATTCTCTTAATTTTAATGTCAATAATAATAAGTGAACTATAACTATGTTTTTGTGTATTTACAATATAATGCTTGATAGTATAATTTTATTGCATTCTCAAAATTATCCCATAGTTTAATGTTTTCATCAGGAAAAACGTTTAGATACTGTTTCCAATATTTTTCTATGTCATCTATGCTTAATACATTTTTGAAAAAGTATTCAGTTCTATATTGCTGATTATGATTATTATTTTTTTTTTTTATGCTATCTATCGTTTTTTTAAGAGCTCGCAGGTAATCTATGTTTGAAATCGAAAGTGGATGTGTGAGATTATTGCATCGAAAATTTAATTCATTCTCAGTATTTTCTGGAAGGTATTAAACACATTTTTCAATACAATTTAAAAATTTATTATTTGTAAATATTTGAATAATTTTACCAAGCTCTCTAGGATTGATTTTAATGTTTTGTTGTGATTGTGTAATTGACACTCTTTCATCATTTTCATAAGACTCCGTATCATAATTGCTTGTAGACTTATCAATTGCTGTAACTATAAGAAGTTTAAAAACTCATAGCAACATGGGGATGTTTAATTATAACCATATTTAATTATGCGCGAATTTATGAGTATAGGAAATACATCCATTTTGCCTATTATTATAGCCACTCTTAATATTTTTTGATAAAAAAGTTACTGATAGACCTTCCACATCTCTATTAAATAATCTTATGCTACTACATATTTGTTTATTTCCACCTTAATCTTTTTATAACGCATAATAACCAGGAATCACACTTTATAAGTCACTATTACTTTATTAAATGATGACATGATTTTCATATTTACTTAAAGGTCGAGAATCTTGTGATTTTAAAGTAGTTATAGATTTGTTTTCACTTAGCATTTGACCATAATCCATAAGAGACAATGATCCTAAAAAAAAAAAAAAAAAAAATATTTCCTATTGAATGATTTTATTTTATTAATTTTTTTGTGATGTATTAGAAATTTAGGTGTTATCCTTAATTATTAGTTGGTATATCAAAAACTAGTGGGGGGCTGCTATGAAGTTAAGAATATGAACAGATAGAAAAATAATTTTTACTGATTGAATAATTTTTTTTTTTATGATAACTATGTTAAAATTATTTCTATTTTATTTATACAAATTACAATACTTTATATTTTTATTTTTATACGAAGTTAGTTCAAGATATGTGTCCCCCTCTTACGCCTGTTAACATCAATCATAAACTGTAGTTTGTTAGAATAAAACCATTGATTATTTATTTATAGTTATTTAATTTTAAAATGTATGCTTAAAATGACTTAAATCAGTACTGAGAATTTTTTAAAAAATATTTTATGCACTTGTAAGTAAAGAAACGTCTGAATCGGCTTTGGCGTAATCAAATGATTTAAAATAGTGTAGCAGTCCAGTTTCAGAAATTTTTCTTTGCTGTGATTTTATAACACTGTCTTCATTAGAAGCTCTACAAAAAAATTACGGCAATAGATTTTAATTACATAGAAGTATAAACATCTTTTTTTTAAGCCTATACGTACTTACAAAATGTTTTCAATATTTTTAGAATGATTTTGCGTAAATTCTATTAGTTTGCCAATTATTTGATTTTCTAATTGATATTCCATTTTGCTTTAAAGTAGAAAAATAAATTATTAAAATAACTGTTGAATAACTAATGTATATATAATATATATTATAAATATAAAAACCTTTTATCTATTGACTGTAATGTCTCGGGTTTGTGCCATGTTACAGGTTTTTGGCAAATGTCGCATATCACCTGTTCTCGCACATTAAAAAGCATTTGGTTCCATGTAATTGTGGTTTTGATACCACACGTGGCCAAGATATTGAATAATAGGGAAAGATTTTTCTCCGAATGTGTATTGATTATATCGAGAAGTTGATCGTCTAATAAAAATGAAGCATTGTCCAATGTCTTTTCCATTATTAAATTCAAAAAGGCCTGTTCCCTGTAACGACTGTAGGGTGAAATGGAAAAGTCAACTATGTCATCTTTTTTAATAACTAAAAAATATAAAATATAAACACTTCGACGCTAGCCTTAGAAAAATGCTAATAGACAACCTTTGTCTCTTTTAACTCTGTCTGTTATAAAGTTGTTTTTGTAAGAAGGAAGCTCTGTAAAACTCGAGTACATTAACTTGGGTGGAGGTTGCCATGTAACTAATAGGTATTTTTCGTGGATAAATCGGTCGATTTCGAAAATCTATTGTGTTAAAATTTTCATAAGTGAAAAGTAATTCAATAAAATAAGAAAAGTAATACCCTTTTTAGATGAGAATTCATTTGTTCTTGAGAATAATTCCACAGTTCTTTATATGTATTTTCTTGGACTTCTGAAAATCTTTCTGTTTTGTTTTCGTAGCGTTGAATGTCTTCTTTAAGTTTTTCTATATGCTCATAAAGTATTTTCAGTTTATCTTGGAACTCAGTTTTTGTATCTCTTACTAATTTTCTTTTAATCGACAGCACATCTTGTAGCCTAAATGATTAGGTTATGGGTTATTATGAATAACACTATTTAATATATATTTATTAATACTTATACTCATACTTATTAATTTTTCTTCTCTGGGCAGCCTTAGCACAAGCAATTTCTTCTTCCCTTCGTTTTAGAACCTGATAGTTATAATTAAGTTTTTCCACATTTTCTAAGCATTTCATTTTTATCAATTCAAATTCTCTCTGTATGAGCTATATATACATAATAATTATCACAATTTAACGTTAAAGTAATTTGGATTATTTACTACTCTAATCATTACATGTAATTCGGTGTTCAATTCGGATTTCAACGTTCGAACACATTCTTCGTTAATCTCAAATTGTCTTATTATATTGTCTTCTTTTTTGTCAATCATAGCTAAGCGTTCATCAATTGAATTTATTTCACTTACTACAATTTTATCATAAAAATCGTCCCAATTATAATTTGATTTATCAATAAATTTTTTCCTCTGTTCTTCAATAGAAGACTGAATAATATTTAATGAAGTATTAAAATTCGACCTTGCTCATGATAACAAGAATACTCACTCTAATATAATCGATGTGGTTTTTATACTGTTTTCTAATAAACTTGACTTGGTTTTCAATTCTCTCTTGTAAAATTCTTATATCTTCGCTCTGAGCATATTGTTCTTGTAAAAATCTAGAATCCGATTCAGCTAATTCTAGTTTTAATTTATTGATCATCTCATTTTTTTGTTCAATAAGATTATTTCCTCTGCCTATATTTATGTTAGACTACATTTATTTAACTATTTAAAAAACTAACATTTTAGAAGTATACTTTTTTGTAATTCTGACTGTTTATAAATGTCTAACGCATCATTTTTGTCTAGTATCACTGGCCATAATTCACAGATCTCTTTAAATTTCGTGGCCGCTTCTATTGATTCATCTTCTATTGCTTTTAATCTTTTATCTCTTTCAATTTTGTCTGTTTCTCTTCTGTTATTTTCGCGGTTATCACTGGCGAGTAATACATTTGTGACTAACTGTGAACATTCTTCCATGTATTCGAAAAGTTCGAATCCACTAGATTCTAGTTGTTTTTTTACTGGACTCGGTATGTCGATAATTGTTTGATTATCTTCATTGTGCAAAATCAACCTATAAATAAAATAATGTTTATAAGACTATATTTATTGTTAATAATTTTATAAAATATAGTCAATATTTAATATAGTAAATATAGTGCAATATTGCAGAAGGCAACGGGAAACTACTGCACTTCCTTAGGATATACCAATGGTATTAACCAACCTAACGGTTGGAAAAAAAAAAGTCAATATTACCTTTTATATTTTTTACAATTTATTAAAGCTATTTAATTCAAATATAAAACAAACTTATTTTATTAATATTTATATATTAATATATTAATATTTATTTTTGTATTTATTTATTTATTGAATTCTTTCAGCATTAAAATAAAAAATAATAATTTGGGTTACTTATTTGAGATAAGTATTGTTTATTTTTAAATCATTTTTTCATAAATAGGTAATTTATTGAAGATAATAATCCATTTGTTTTTAAAAATTAATTTTCTAATTTAAACATCCTTTATCAAAAAGACAATGAAGGAGACCATAGGGAACATCTCTTATGTACTTATTTTAAATTACTATGCTTTTGAAAGTATAAATTTATCACTGTACTGATTTGGCTCTAAATGTTCATAAATTAAAATATTTACGTTAAGAAAATACTTCACGAGTAAAAGTTCAGAATAAAATATTTGAACGTTTTTCTTTGGTACATTTTTAAAAAATTTTCTAATACTTCTAATTTGAAGGTTTGGTAAATTATTATTACTAGTTACTACATTTATATTATAATTTGTAATACTTAATTAAAAATCGTATGATTAATTAATTAAAGGAAAATAAAAGAAATTGTATGATACTATTAACAATATTCTACAGTTTTTTCAACAACAAATTTTTTTTAAACTTATAAGTTAATTGTGCTGTATTTGTGGTTTATTTTGTTAAAATTATCATTGATCAAATATTTAAACATTACCGGCTATTTTCATTAGGTTTCAATACATTCATTTTCTTGTGTATGTAAATTTAATCTACTATAACAGAACTTATTAAAAATATTTATTGATTATTTACTTTATTGTTAAAATATTTTATTCGATATATGATTACACAAAAATTTTGTACACAAGCAATTTTGTCTAGAATTCATATTTAATAATAATAATAATAATCTCAAAAATATACGGGGAATATATGATTAGCTGACCCCTAAAATGTTGTTTATTCAGAAGATCTCCAAGGGAACATTAACGGCAATATGCTGTATTGATACAACAATAATATAACATGACGTTTAAATTATTTATTTATTTGAATTACGGTAACAAATAAAACATTAATTAAATGTAAGAGATAATATATACATTTTGGAACCATAAAACAATTTAGTGGTTAATTGAGGCCTGATAATTACTCATTCGTTTGTGGTAATTAACCAGGCACTTAGGTTAATTGATGTATTTCATTCATATAACTATTCTTTGAGTATTTATTTTAGTTAGCTCATTATTTTTTGTTAACTCATCTGAATGAATGTATTGTTATTGTAAATTTTTTTTTATATAAATAAATATTTTGTTTCAGGTTGTTTATAGTTAGCTATTTTAATAATTAGCAAATTTTTTTATGCATAAAATTGTTTGTTTCCCTTTAAATTGTTTTTGTTTTACGGGGTCAATACCAAAAATAGTTTTGGCAAGCTCACTACAGAGTATTGTGGCCAAGTTCGATAGTCTGACACGCTACTAATTTGCATTGTGCGCGGACTGAGGTTACTGTACTATGACATTGAAATATAATTAAATATTGTTTACATTTCTCAAAAAACGAAATATTCAGTTATTACTTTCACTTGAGTGCATTTTTTTTTTTCATTTTTTTATTATTATATTTACTGATTTAAATACTGACTCGTTTTACTTTAATTGTTTTAACTTATTATATTAATGCACACTTTGTATACTAAAAATATATTTTTAAGACTTCATAACAATAAAAAAATTAAATCTTCATCATGAGGATCAATAGTCTGTCATGTTAATTTTAAAGGCGTCAAACTTTAGAACACGATTAAATATCGTTCATTATTTTTTGGTGTACATTAAAGCTCTTAAAATAATAAAATAAACGGATGAAGATGTTAAACAGTATTATTCATAAATAAAATAAAAGTTTTCCTAAAAATATTTCAATTTAAACGTACTATAGAATTGTTTAAATATTTCTAAGTATTATTTTAATTTTGATTTTAAAATTATTTTAACATCTAATTTATTATAAAACCAAATTAGATAATTTTTATTGAACATAAAAATGTTCAATCATAAATATAATAAATAACTTAAATTGGTTTATAATAACGTTGTAAAATTAAAAAATTTAATTTTCACTTTTAATATTGTATGTAACAAAATTTAATTGTTTAATTTTGTTTTCAAGTTGGCAAATGTTACATTATACTTTGGTTTTATATACATTTGTTTTTATTAAGAATTAACAAGAGGTACAAAAATGATAAAATTTCTATCGTCACATTATATTTTGTAATTATTATTGAATATTTTATTATTTAGGTAATCTATTTGATTAAATTAGGTTAAATTACCATAATAATATTTTACTTGTCGTTTATTGAAATGTCATATTAAATGGAATTAGTGAAATTATTATGTGATAATTTAGTATATTTTTAGTCTACTTAATAAAATTAATTTGATAGGTTAAAATGCTAATTTGTACTCTAAAGTATATCGTAACCATTAAACCAGTTGCATTACTTTGTGAGTTTAAATATTTCAACATTTCACCATTAGGCTCTTATTAATATATGTATATCATCCAAATCATGTAAGTCACATAAAATGTGTAAAATGAATAAAATGTTCCACCACATATTTATTCAAATAAGTAGTCTTACAAAACAATACATTTTTAGCGGATATTATGTAAGTTGCATCAATTTTTTCCGCTGCAAAAAATTTGTTTGTAATTATGTACAGTAACAATGTTTAATGGTTTAAATATTAATTTACTTGTTAACGATAAGAACAGCACAAAACATTTACGACATAACTCGTTGATATTTTTATAAGATAGGTATTGTAATTAATAATCAGGTAATTGTTTGTAACTAATTATTAAAATGATTAAAAATATACCGTTCCAAAAGTGTTCATATTATTATATTAATTTTTAAATTATGATTATACTATTTCAATGTTTTTCAGATAACTATCAGAAAATTTTAAGTGACATGACTATTTTTGAAATATAACACAATAGAATTGATTTCATGCAAACAGATGTTAACTCGTTAAATTTATTATAATCCGTTTAAAATATATACACGTACATTCTGTTTAAAATCATTTTGTTGTATACATATTGATATATCTGTAAAAATACCAAAATTAATTTTTTGTGTCATCAAGTTCTGTAATTGTTCGTAACAAAAATTTATTCTATTGAGTTCTATTCTATTTGAATAATTTAATCAAATCGATTATTTAATTTGTTTTCAAGAAGTAAAATAGTTTTAGTTACATTTAACAAGCGTATTAAAAGATTATTTATTAGAATTTCTAATTAATTAAAATTTAATTTAATCTTATTAGTGATTATCTCTTATGGTGTCTTTGTTGTATTTTTTTAAGTTAAAATAATTGATAGTTACTTATAAAATCAAATATTATTGATGTAGAAATCTGTAGATTATTAAATGTAATAATTCAACCGAAAAAATAAGAAGTTACTTAAATTGATTTATAATTGTATAAATAATTTTTTTCGGTATTTAAATAGTTTTGAAAACGATGTATAATAATAATATTTATTATATAAATAATAAATAATGTATTTCTATAGAAATAGACCCAAGTTGGAATAAGCTTTTTAAAGATAAAGTCTCAATAGTTAAATTGGGACTAGACAAATATGGAACTAAGAGTATTCATAGAATATTTTATGTATTAAAATATTTTTATTTACCGAAATATGCATACTTTTTGATAAATTATTTTTCTTTTTACCGTTATCACAATAAAATCATGTAAAAAGAAAAACGATTGAATTAGTAATGTATCGATAAATTTTATCGAAGTAAAATATTATGACTCGTCAAGAAATAACAAAAAAACAAAATACGAAAATTCATAGAAACAGTAAGAATAAATTACATAAAAATGTTGTAAAAAAAAATATTCGGCGTAAGACTTTCAAATTTGTACAATCTGAAAAGTATATAAGTAATTAATAAGGATCCGGCATTGAGTAATACATTTAAAAATAGATGATTATCAAGTTTAAAATTTAATGCATTAGTTTTTTTACGATTGCTAGTTTTTAAATTTTTTGAAAAATTATCAAATGTATTTTAAATCTTGATAAATTAACTAATCTTGAAATTGTTGAAACAAACAAAGTAATAGACAGTAGCATTTTATAGTTCATAAAAGTTATTATTGTATTTTAAAATTTTACTTAAACAATCAAACAATAACGTATAGTCATTGTTAATTTTTATTTATTTTGGATTACTGTCATCTAAGAAACAACTGTCTATTTTTAATAGTCTCGTTAACTATGAAACATAACGTTGATGATTTGTCCTTTGGTACTGTATTACCCCGTGATCTAGTCACGTGCATTTAAAAATGTGGTACACTACTAATTTTATCATGGGTTTGTTTAAGTTTATAATTATAGTCATTTATAAACATTTGTGATATACTTTGATAAGGTGAATAATAGATAAGTGTCGTATGTTAGTTAGGAAGAGATTATAAATGAAAATTTCTAATAACTATAATGAACAAACACATTTTTATACTAAATCGAGGATTGTATATTTCTTTTAAAAAAATGCCTATCAATAAAATAGTATCACAAGTTTGTTTTATTTACAATTCAGGCCTTTTTCTTATCTAATAAATAAGTTGATAAATATGCAATACATTATAAAAAATTATGTTATTGTACAAATTCCATATGTTTTCTACTAATATTTAACATTAAAATATGTGTGCGAATGTATTAATTTCATGTTATGTTATCAATACAAAAACATATCTAATTGTATTCAGTGCACATATTTGTCCCACTGTTATGATTAAAATAAATAAATCAACTAAAGTTTCTAATTATTGTAGTTTTTATGTGTTTATGAGTGGAAAGTTTAAATAAATAAATAGTTTTAGTGACTTCAGCCGTAAAAAAACAATAATAATATCAAAGATTAGAAGGTTTTGTAAACAATTATTGGGGCTAACCTTGGTGAAATTGTGTGATAATCACGTCCAAATGTTACATAAAGGACAACGTACTAACAAATACATTTCTTAGTAAAATAACAATTTACAGTACATTTTAACTAACTCGTGATAGGAGCTATCTTATATTAATTGGTCCCTTAGACTAGTCCAGGCCACAGCCATAGTGTTTGATTTTGGTGTATGGATTTATCACCAATTCTTTTGTTCTTTTTGATATACATCGACCGACGCACTAATTGAAAATATTTGTTCTTTGGGTTTGAAACTTTTTTCTAATTCTTCATGGCTCTCCGTTCTGTCATTGGTGAATAATTTTTCCACTTGTAGTAAACTTTTACCTCTCGTCTCTGGCAAAAATAAGGCAATGAAACACGTTGCCAAACCGGCCGCGCCAGCAAATAACCACATAATTTCATCAGTCTGCAACGCTGTCATGAGGCTAGGTGATATTTTTACTGTGACAAATATGAAGAAATATGCTAATGATGGTACCAAACCTCCCATAAGACCTCGGACCTTCAGAGGAAATAACTCGCCAATCATCATCCAAGGTAGAGGTACCATGCCCAACATGCTAGCGCTGACATTAGACAATATGCATACTAAAGGAATCCAGCTAAAAGGTCGGTCGTCTACTTGTAGCGAACCGTACCAAAACTCGTATGTTCCACAAACAGCCATTGAAATTGCCATCAATATTGTTGACGTCATAGCCATAGTTCGTCGATTTAGATGTTGAATGCAAATCGAACCTGTAATGCTCATTATTAACCTCAACAGAGCTACAATAATTGATGCTAAATTACTATCTATTGTCGAACCCGCTACTTGAAAAAAATTTACTGCATAATATAATACTATGTATATTCCACTGGCTTCTTGTAGTAGAAAAAAACATATTAGTATCAGGAAAGGTTTCCATACGGCAGGTTCTAAAAAGTCTACTAGTTTTGGTAATAGAGTTACTTCAGAGTTTTTATCAACCTTTAAAGTATCCATGATTTCGGCTAACTCTTTGTCGGCCAATGCCGGCTTTCTTCTTAGCCATAATAGAGACTTCGATGCGTCGGTTATTCGACCTTTCGATGCCAGCCACGATGGCGATTCAGGCGTTAAATTCACTGCCATGAAACTCAAAAATGAGGTTAGAGCACATAACACGGAAACAATCTGCCAAGACATTATTGATCCTAGTGAATAAACGATAAGAACACCGACAGACACAAATATCGGACCAAACGCCGATAAGATGCCTCTATGTTTGGCTAAACTAACTTCCGCAACATAAACGTAACATGCTGAGGACATACCTGTGAAAAAAAATTAGAACTATTTTGGTATTGTTCGTATTTTAACGGAAGATTTACTAAGAAAAATTCTATATCTGACCAATAGCAACTCCAGTGATGAATCGTCCTACACATAATACTATTATGTTATTAGATAGTCCAATTACACTCCATCCAATCAAAAATGGTATTGAAGTTAACTGAACTGTAGTTTTTCTTCCTAATATTTGCATGAAGGCCCCTGACATCAATGCACCCAATGGATTTGATATAACTCCTAAACTAGCTA